TTTAAATACAGAGATAGTGTGTTAAAAGCACATTTTAGTTCATATACTATATACTATATATTTAGTTCAACGATACATTGTATGGGTCAAAATTATACATTTCTCTTTTATGCCAGAAATCATTAGGATATTAAGTAAAGTTCATGTTCCATTAGGGCTGGGCGACATGAGCAAAAATTCACATCTCGGTATTTTTTGGCTGATTTGGGGTATACGGTATATATCTCAGTATTTTGTTTCTGAATTAAACAAATAAAGTGAATGTAAGCATGTAGGCATATATTATGTGCAAAAGAGGGTTAAAATCACGTTACATTCTAACATTGTAACATTGCAATCTAAAAACAAAAATAATGCTTTTAAAGCAGAAGTTACATTTACTAAACTAAAAATGAAAATAATAAAAAAGCAGACTAATTGAGTTAGTGCTCTCATACAAATACACTTGTAGGTTAAAAATTCTACACGTCACATTTATTGTCCAACTACAAATATTTCAGCGAAATGTATATTTTAGGCAGAGTCTGTCTGGCGCTCGTTCTCTGAAGTCTGTGAAGTTTAGCGGAGAATCCCAAAGCAAACGCTCATGCACTTCTGACAGCAAAGCTGAAATATTTCCATGGCTTTCTAACATTTACAGACGTATATGTTATGAATATACCTGTGAAATGTAAGTGATGCATTCAGGAAACCAGCTCATCTCAAACACATTAAACAGCGGCACACGCAGCCTTTCTGTCAGAGCCGCTTTAAACTCATCTATAAACTATAGGCTACTATATCTTACAAGTCTTTTAAAGCCCTTCATATAAAGCGTGTCACATGTTTAGAACAAATTGTATTAAGCACTTTCTCCGCAGCAGCTCAGTCTGTCCTCCCTAGATATTGTTCAGATGCGCTCGTATCAAACTACTGTATATCGATATTAACGGTATTGCTTCATACCGTATCGCTAATAAACAAATATATCGATATATCGTACAAACTTGATATACCGCCCAGCCCTATGTTCCATGAAGATATTATGTAAATTTCCTACCATAAATATATCAAAACTTCACTTTTGATTAGTAATATGCATACAGACTTTTAAGAAGGGATGGATGTTTGCTTCAGTGATAGACCAGGTAAGTGAAGTTATATTATCTTGCTGTGTGTCGTTTTCTTTAAGTTTTCTGATTTAAAGCAACCAAAAAGCCATTTTAAAGTGGTTAAGCAAATAATAATAATAATAATAATAATAATCGACAGGGATCCCAGACCAGTACAATTAGTGTGCCGCCTCTATTTTAAACCCACGAGCTGCCACTGATGGAAATACACATTATATTACATACATACATATATGTAATATTTAATGTGTTTAATGTAAAAAGAAAAAAAAAATCATAAAGGCCTATTTTTTAAAACTTTTTAAATGTATGCATCACCTTTCATGTCAAATTATTATAATTTATTAATAAATTCTATAGGGCTGTTACCAGTCAGATTAAATCATTTACACTGCAAAATTACAACTGCAAAAAATAATGTTATGAAATTAATGTTTTTAAAACAATTATGAATATACAAATAAGAAATGTTGGGGGAAAAAAATGCATACTTTTCAACATACTAAATCACCAGCAGGTGGCGGTAAGTCACTTAATGAGTGAGTCATTGAGTCATTGATTCAACCGATTCGTTCAAACGCTGAATCGTTCAGTAACTAAACACCGCCGAGTGTTTGGAGAATGTGAGATACTTCTGCTGTGATCCTTGTTTGGAACTATATTCGTTGGTGAAACAGAACAAGACAGTAAATATTGTGTCTAAAATGTAAGTAACTTAATAACTACTTGACTAACTAACGTTACTTGTTTATTGAAGTAAAATCAATGTAACATTTGTAATCGTGAGAACATTCAGCAAAATAGCTCCCTTGGTATGTTACTGAACTATATCATGTTATAAATAAACTACACAATTTGAATTTGTAGCTCAGTGTGTTTCTTCTGAGTTTCTTTATGTGTGCTGAGGACCCGCGGTCACTAGAGGTGTGCGATATACATCGTCTGCGGTAATATCGTAATTGTTGTTTTAACGATGAGTGATTTGACATTATCCAGTATTTTGCAAAAACCATTCAAAACACCTACAGAGCACACGCTTACATTACGTGAAGTCTAGACTAGTGCGCGTGCGCATTTATAGTGTGTTC